GACCTGATAGTCACACACGTGGGTTACATACATAATATGGAGTTATGCATAGAAATGATTAGTTGCTCACAAGTCCTTTTAGTGTCATTTAGGTGCATGGAAAGGCAGTTTCTGTGCCATTCTGTGAACAAGGACATGTTCTGTGAAGACCAGAGGTTAAGAGGTCTGTAAGGAATCTCAGTCTGTTCTTTGTCTTCTAGGTGGGGGAAAGTCAATCCACAGAGCTCGTGATCATGATTACTATCACTGGTTCACATGTGATGGTCATGCTGTGCATCTCTTTGACCATTTAATCTTGATTACTTGCCCCAAAATTGACAATCTCCTTGGAATTGTCAATAAGTGTTCTTTTGTTTAAATGCTGTGAGCTACTCAAAGCTGCTAGTTGGTGGACTTGCTTCAGGCTTGTGGTGCCAGCATCTGATTTACGAACATCCTGTGTCTTGGGCCTTTCTGTGGAATTCGGCTCCTCGTGTTTCAACCATGTTCTTGATCGAATCTTAAATTGTCTGAGTCGGTCTGATACCCTACATCCTCAAAGGGTAAAGAAGAAGCAAAAACGCCTTCAAGCACACAGAAGAACTACACGTGGAAGATGGGGATGATATATGAATATGATTGTGTGAGATTTAAAGGATTGTGCAGCTCTGAAAGCATGAGCTCTGCGTATGATCACACACACACATAGTTACAGCTTGTCCATTCCTTGTGTACCGTCCGTGGATTATCCTTATTAATTTTATTGGCTAATATAACTGCTTTAAATAATTGTTGTTTATGTTAATGGTTTTAAAAAATATTTTTGGCCTGCCAGTATGTCAGTGAATCTAAACTAATGCTTGCATTCCGAGTATAGGTGTGTGCGTGCACGAGTGTGTGCGTGTGTGTGTGTGTGTGTGTGTGTTATTTGAGGGCCAAGTGCCACTAATGTTGTGTTTTGTACTGTTGAATAAAGAATCACAATCAGAATCAGAATGAGCTTTATTGCCAGGTATGTTTACACAGTGCTGGGGGATGGTGTCTTGTAGTTGGTGATTTCTTTCAGACTTTTTCACACTGATGCTGAGTCCTTATTTTTTCAGAATAATTCCTCTTTGCCACTCTGATCTCCTTTTCCAGTGTGTATTTAGCCTGTTTATACAAGACATTATTCCCCTTCCTGTGAGCATCTTCTTTGGCCTGACGGAGCTGTCTGAGTTTTGCAGTGAACCATGGTTTGTCGTTGTTGTAAGTTAGATGAGTCCTGGTAGGAATGCACATGTCTTCACAGAAACTGATATAAGATGTTACAGTCTCTGTGAGCTCGTCCAGATCGGTGGCAGCAGCTTCAAAAACGCTCCAATCAGTGAGGTCAAAACAAGCTTTTAAATCCTGCTCTGCTTCATTAGTCCATCTTTTTACAGTCCTTAATACAGGTTTCGCTGATTTCAGTTTCTGCCTGTAGGTCGGTATAAGATGAACTAAACAGTGATCAGAGAGCCCCAAAGCTGCCCGTGGGACGGAGCGATATGCATCCTTTATTGTGGAGTAACAATGGTCCAGTATATTACTGTCTCTGGTGGGACATGTGATGTGCTGTCTGTATTTTGGCAGTTCACGGGAGAGATTTGCTTTATTAAAGTCCCCGAGAATGATTAAAACAGAGTCCGGGTGTTGTTGTTCTGTCTCTGTGATCTGATCAGCGAGTTTCTGTAAACCGGAGCTCACGTGCGCTTGCGGAGGAATGTAAATACTGATGAGGATGAATGAGCAAAACTCCCGCGGCGAGTAGAAAGGCTTGCAGTTAATGAAGAGCACTTCTAGATCTGAACAGCACATCTTCTTTAACACAGTTACATCTGTACACCACCTCCATCATTGATGTAAAAACATGTCCTGCCGCCGCGTGATTTCCCCGTTGATTCTGCGTCGCGATCTGCTCTAAACAGCTGAAAGCCCGGCAGACTCAACGCGCTGTCCGGAATGGCGTCTTTCAGCCAGGTTTCCGTGAAACACAGAGCAGCAGAGTTTGAAAAATCCTTATTTGTCCAGGAGAGCAGAAGGAGTTCGTCCGTTTTGTTGGGTAGAGAGCAGAGGTTCGCCAGATGGATGCTAGGCAACGGCGTTCTCTGAATCCGCACTGCCTGAGCTTCACGAGCGCGCCGGCTTGCTTCCCCCGTCTGCGCGTCCTGAAGCGGTTGATCAGCGCCGCAGCTCCCCCGACAACAATGTCCAGCAAAACATCAGAATAATCGAAAACCGGTGAAATATCGGGAGTGTGTACTGCCGAATGTCCAGCAATTCGTCTCTGGTGAAACTGATTGCAGGGATATAACTAAAGACAGGACAAACTAACAAAAACATAAAAACAACTGCGGAGCACGCCATGGAGGCAGCCATCACCGTCGGCGCCATCTTCATATATGTGGAGTTAATGTTTAAGTATTATTGTTATTTTTTCCCCGTAGTATCGACTTGGTTTTGAGTATCATGTACTTTTAGTTGTTTCAGTACCGACTACTAGATTTTTGGTATCGTGACATCCCTACTTGGGACCAGCAACTGTTTGAATCGGAGGGGCCACATGTTGAGCAGACCAAAAGGAATCACAGAGGTGGCGGCTGTTCAAGAGGCCGAGCATCCTCTGGAAAGCCCCAAGGGGATGAAAAGTCCCTACTTTGAACGACGCTGCCAATCGCTGAATAGTCAGGGAATGTTCCAGCATATCCCAAGCCTGCATTTGGGCTGAATCGATAATCGTCCCCAGAAAGACAACTCTCTATCTGGGAGACAAACAGCTCTAGGCTAAGTTGAATTTCACCCCAAGACGCTCCAGATGGCTGAGCAGCAGCTACCTTTGAGCGATGAGTTCCCCTTCTGATCTGGCTAACACCAGCCAGTAGTCGAGGTAACTGAGAATGTGGATTCCTATTTGTCTTAGAGGGGAAAGAGCTGCATTCATGCATTTCGTAAAAGTGCATGGGGCCAGAGACAGTCCGAATGGCAGGATGTGTATTGATAACCCACTCCCTTGAATGCGTCTTTCAGATCAACCAATAGAAACCTGTCCTCGGGGCCTATTTGCACGAGGATCTGTTTCAAAGTTAACATCCTGAACAGCCGTCTCATAAGAGAGTCATTCAGATGTCTGAGATTGAGGATGGGTCTGAGCCCGCCATCCTTTTTGGGAATGAGGTACCGGCTGTAAAGCCTGACCTGCTGTTCGCTAGAGGAACCATTTGCTCCTTTTGCAAGCAGTCTTTGTACTTCGTACCGGAGAACGTGAGCATCGTTGTCCCCTACCGAAATCTTGATAATACCTCTGAAACGAGGTGGTCTGCAAGGAACTGAAGCGAGTTGCCTCATTCTATGGTTTTCAGAACCCATCTTTACACGTCTAGGATTGCTTTCCAAGCCTGAGCCCAGTTGGCAAGAGGTTCTAATTTTCAAATAACAGTTCACGGCACGGGGATGGGGAAATTATATTTGCGGGGAACTTTATTTTGAATGAAGAGAGAAAACCTGTACTTAACTTTTTCTCTTTTTTTATTGCTTTTTCCCCATATACATACAATATACAAATAAACACATCCAATTTGACGTAATACAACAAGAGACAGAACAAATCAAACAGAAACATGAAGGGACTAATAATCAGAATTACATTTAACTTAGTACTGTTGAATGCTTTAAAGTAGCCATTTCTTTAACATATTTTCCCTTTCCCTCTTCCTTCCACCCTCCACCTCCAACTCACCCCATCAGCAACAACACCATCAACGATGATAACAATAATAATAAAGATTGATCAAATTTGGCCATTGATGATGCTACCTACACTTATTTCTGGGGGCAGAAAGAGGACCTCACCCACGGAGATATTTACTGTGAAACAGTTTTCACTCAGAAATTGCTAGTAAATTTCACAAATAATTATAAAGAAATGGAAAGTAATATTAAATTAAATGTGAAATTTCCAGTCATAAGACTGAAGTAGTATTTTTTGGTAAAAACATACTTTTTTACAGTGAAGTCTGCTGTACTTGTATTGCTGCTAATTTGTAAGCATTTAAACATCAAAACAAGCATGTTAATAAATCTGTTCTCTACAGGTAAACAGGACTAATTTAGAACTAAACTAGTTCTCATAATGTTGCAGAGTTAAACATTATCACATTAACAATACAGTCATTGGTCTCAATCTAGCAGTCATGAAGCATGCTCATGGTGCCAACACTACTCAAATATTAACATACTAATTTATTTTCAAAATTTTGTTTGTTGACATTAACATTAATCAAGATTACTATATGCTATAAACATTTAACATTAACAAATTAAACATTTTCACTGTGCTTGATTATCTAGTGCTCTGTCAGTAGATATTTAGAGTGTTTATTAGAAACTCTGTCTGTGTGTGTAGATACAAAGACCTGGAGAAGAAACCGAACCCATTGGTGAAGCGGGTCAGTGTGTACGGAAACGCCTCCCTCATTATGCCCGCCTTTGCCTACACCTTCTGCACTGGACTGTCAATCAGAACTCTCAAAGCCCTCCATCCAATCAGACCTCAGCAGCCGGTGGTGTTCTTCAGCCCGTATTACCTGCAGACACTGGACCGTTTCTGGAAGGGGCGTGGCCTGAAGTCGATCCGCCTCTCCACTGGGTTTATGTTAATTAGCGCGGCGCTAGAAGTGTGTGAGCATGTGCATGTTTATGGATTCTGGCCGTTTGACACCGACCTGCAGGACAATCCGGTTCCGTATCATTATTACGACCTAAGAAGACCAAGCAAACGCATGCACAAAATGCCGGAGGAGTTTGTGCGTCTTCTGCAGCTCCACAGCCAGGGGGCGCTGACACTGCACCTGCAGCCCTGCTCCTCAGACGCAAGCTGACATCTATACGCATAATAAAATATATTAGAGATTGAAGGTTCTAAGGAACCTCAAATGCAAACTGTGTGTGTTTTGCTTCAAGAGAGCAACCATACATTTATGTTGTTTTACTTTTAGTTTTACATTCATTTCTTCATTCATTTATAATCATTTATCATTTAATCATTTTAGTATTCCATTTAATCATATAATCAGGGGTGGCACTTGGGGTGGGCTAAGGGGGCCGAAGCCCCAAATGTTTTCAGTAATGCCCCGAATGTTTTTATAATCATGCCTTGTGCGCATCATCACTGAGTAGCTTACGATTATAGGGGCCACGGCTGTGGTGGGGGGGGGGATTCCCCAGCGAGGCCAGCCTAAAAAGACGCTCAGGACAGTTGACGGGCCACTGCTGCGCATCGTCACGAAAGCTTATCAATTGTATGATGACTGAGAACTGATGTTCCGTGCAAGTTAATTTATTTAGTACATACATATTTCTAGCTGCCTTTTTAGCGCATCCCGTAAAGGGAATCAGCGCACATTGTATATGGTTTCCATATTATGACTATTTAATGCGCTGGTTACTTGTCTGTCATAAAAGCACTTTAATATTATATTTATTTTTGCAATAAGTTCTATAATTTGCAGATAATAGCATTTTTAATTTTATAATTTCTTGTATGCACTATTTAAAGCAGATGTAACCTCCCCTAACACCCACTGTCTCTTAAAGTGACCGCGCCTAATTTACTAGCTGCTGTCGGTGTCCTTAATGTTAATCCAAGAAGTTAAATGAGAGAAAATCACTCAAAGCTACTTACTGAATTACTTTGTAGTTTTAACAAGAATTTATCTATATTTAATTTATACACAGTGAAGACTATGCAATGCTGTTTTACATTTGCTTATTCGGTTTCTGTACCTAGACACCTACAAACATTAAAAAACTTAAGCATTGTTTAATTTGTATCTTTGTTCTATTTATTTATTTGTGCTATTTACACAATTTCAAACAGGGCCCACAGGTACAACCTGCACCAGGGCCCGCAAACCCCAGCTACGGCCCTGACTACAACATTCCCTAAAGGCAAGATATTTGACTGAATAGTATCAATCATACCAATAAAAAAACTCTCACACAAATTCTTAGACGGAGTAGGAAAAAAAAACATTAATAGATGCACTCAGTACCTTATCTATGGTTGCAAATAATACCTTTGGGTTATTTACATTATGCGAAATAATTTGTGAGAAATATGAAAATCTAGCGGCTTTAACAGCATTTTTTCAAAGATTCTCAAAAATTATCATAAAATACTTGCAATTTATCTTTAAGCCACTTACGCTCAGCAAACAACAAACCTACAAACATAATGGTGCGCAAATCCAGAGACCCTCTGTGATAGGTTAAAGGAATTAACCACATTCAAAAATTCTTTGGTCATAGGTTTACAAGGACAACAGACATGGATATTAAAATCACCTATAATCAAAATTCTGTCAGCAGATGGAACGACCACTGATAAAAAACTCATCAAGAAAATCCTTATAACTAGGAGGCCTATATATCAAGGCACAAAGTATCGGCAATGGAAAATCAATCTTCATTAATTGAACTTCAAAGCTCTTAAAACCTTCATCGGCGCCAGAAACATGCGTGGCTGTTCAACAAACAGCTTCAAATCACGAGCTACACACATCCAAAGCAAAGTTGTGCGTTTCTGCAGCAACACACAGCAGCATTTCGTTACTGAATGATGCATTTTTGAATGAATCAGTTGAATGAATGACTCTACTGCTTTGTTCAAGTCATGTCAGATAGATCGTATTTACGAGTTGAACGAATGGGAAACTTGAAGTTTTTTTTTAAGCCCAGAGTTTCCGAGTTGGGGGTGTGTCAGTGAGAAAACCTGTCGGATGCTATGTTGAAATAAATAAAAGGATTTTTTTGTCATGTACAATAAAACTATATAAATTACATATAAAAAATATTATATTAGTGTATAATTCAGCTCTTAAAACCTTCATCGGCGCCAGAAACATGCGTGGCTGTTCAACAAACAGCTTCAAATCACGAGCTACACACATCCAAAGCAAAGTTGTGCGTTTCTGCAGCAACACACAGCAGCATTTCGTTACTGAATGATGCATTTTTGAATGAATCAGTTGAATGAATGACTCTACTGCTTTGTTCAAGTCATGTCAGATAGATCGTATTTACGAGTTGAACGAATGGGAAACTTGAAGTTTTTTTTTAAGCCCAGAGTTTCCGAGTTGGGGGTGTGTCAGTGAGAAAACCTGTCGGATGCTATGTTGAAATAAATAAAATGATTTTTTTGTCATGTACAATAAAACTATATAAGTTACATATAAAAAATATTATATTAGTGTATAATTCCATAGAATATATAATGATTCAGTTTACATCACCTTCATACATTGAATAAAAACAGAAAAAAGCAAAAACACGATGCACGTTCTTTATTCATCATTTTGTAGATGTAGAGTTAAAAATAATTTAATTTTATGTAGAAAAGTTAAATCGCTCTTGTTCCGACCAAAGTGACTTGAACACACCTGACACCATAATTGCGACTTGTCAACTCATGAATACGAACTTTCCAGAAGGACTTGAATGCACAATAAGACTCATTAAGATAGTGGCTTGCCGCCACCTACTGGCAATTTTAGTTTAATATATTTTTTAAAGGTATCATTCTATTTTTTTCTATCATTTTATATTTCTATATTCCAATTTTTTTATTTAAAACAATCTCATAACATTATTTATGCAATTTGTAAGTGCAGTCTAAATGCATATACAAGAGCTCCTTAAAAATATGTGTATGAAGCATGCGTGCTTAATTATACTTGGCTCTTTCAAATAACAAAGCCGCTTTGCCAATGTAACTTTTAAACATATTTTATTTGAAGTATGTCCTGTGTATTCTGACACATACATGGATGTCTCTGGGCTAAGCCCCGGATATCCTCTAACCCTAGAACCGCTCCAATATAGTCATTTATAATAATCAATTTAACTATTTATATACAAGTGTAGTCATTTATATGATTGTTTTTTAATATTATTTTTCCATTGTTGTTTAGTCTTATGACTGTGGTTTCTGTTTGTCTTCATGAGTAAGAGATACGAGGGGAACGTTTAAGGGAATTCAAGGTTTATGGGATGTTTTTGTGAAGCAGTTTGGTAGAACTCTTCTTGTTGGATTTGTGTTCATCAGACGAAGTCTGCGCATTGAGACATACACAACTAAGACTAATAAACTCTGCTACTTTTAAACAGGCTTTAATCGTATTTGATTAGTATCAATAACTGTGTAAATCGCTCCAGGTGCCGTCATGCTGGCTTGAACGCTTTCCATCTCTAGCGTTCCACTTTGGTTTTTTTTTTTAATCCATCTTAAATCTGATAATTTTGAAAGAAGTTTTTGAAAGAAGTTTCTTCTGCTCACCAATGCAGCATTTATTTAATCAAAAATACAGTAAAAACAGTAAAATTATGAAATCTTATTACGGTTTTCCTTTTCATCAGATAGCTGTTTTCTGTTTTACTGTATTTGAAAATGTATTAAATGTCTTTTTTAAGATTTGTTTTTGGCATTTTCAGCCTTAGATAGGATAGTGTAGAGTCGGCAGGAAGCAAAGTAGGATAGAGAGGGAGAACGGGATCTGGAAAGGGATTCGAACTCGGGACGCCCGCAATGCAATGCGTTATACGTCAGCGCACAGCCCACTAGTATATCAGTGCTGATTTAATTTTTTCTAACTACATTTTATTTTTCTGGATTCTTTGATGAATAAAAAGTTCAAAAGAACAGCATTTATTTTATTATAAATGTATTTACTGTAACTTTTGATTACAGTTTTTTTTTTAAATGCTTACACACAGTTTTTGAAACTATGGCTCCATTTCTCAAAACTCTACACACAAAACCACAAAACACACACACAACATGCAAAACGTCATACACTTCTTGAAAAAGCAAACACTTCTTTGAAAATTATTTTAACTCTTCTAAAAATTTTATTTTTGCGTAGTAACTCTAAACACAAACATAAAATAATTAGCCACATACATGCCAAACTACACACAGATGTGAAAAATGTAAAACACTGGTCTCGTGTGTCTTTTGCTTGTTCAGAGTGCAGTGGAGCACAGGAGTTTGTTACAGCACTCACACATACTGTACATGCATATGCACATATACACTGTATATACACTGATGAATTTTACACAGTTATGCAACTGAACTGAATTAATACTGAACTGACTTGAGCTGTAGAATGACACTATTGACTTGTTAGAGCTGCTTTACAGCAGAATGTGAATTTGATACTATTGTGAAGCTGCTGTGAAACAATATTGTATAAAAGACTTTAGAAATAAAGTTGACTTTCTGACTTGGCTTGTATGCATATTCTGTACAGATAGATAGATATGCATATGACACAGATACAACACAGATGCATATTCAGTGTGTGTGTATATATATATATGTGTGTGTATGTATATGTATCTCTCTCTATCTCTCTCTCTGAATATATATATGTAGGATATGCATATAAGCCAAGTCAGAAAGTCAACTTTATTTCTAAAGTGCTTTATACAATATAGATACACTGTAAGCAGAAATGCAAGGGGCGTAAAAATTATTTATTTCTCAAAACACTGAATTTTGATTTCTAAGTGACCAAATGATGTCTAAGTGTTCTCACACATGATCACTGTGTGTAGGTCATCAGTAAATGAGTGTGGCATTTAAAGGGGCATTATTTCCCAAATTAAACAAAAGAGCTGTTAGTTTCGAATGATGTGTGTAGAGTTTTGCAAAAAAGTGTGTTTTACAATAGCAAACTGAGTTCAAAGTGTAAAGTTTAAAATGCTACATTTGCAATTAAGGTTCTAGTTAATATGTAGTCATATTATAATTGTAACAGATTAATTCCTGAGTTGAAGTTAAGGCTATAGGGATGTTACATTTATGTGTGTGTAATAC